CAATGATGTTGGTTTTAACTTCATCGGTTAGTTGCGCTCCAAAGTTCTGTTGCAGATCAGCCATCACATTGACATCAACGATCTTCGAACCAACATTGAACACATCAGAGTATGGTATAACTTCCTTGGTGAATAAGGGTAGCTTTCCAGCTTCGTTTCTAACTTCATCATCCTTGAAACATACGGCAGCCTTCAGGGTCCTCATCCAAGGGTTACCTAGGATGTTTAAACGAGCTTCTTTTACAATGTAGAATTCCATCTCTACATTACCGAGCGGTGATGTGACTGGTAATTCGATTGAACCAGTTACTGGGCATGAACCTTGTACAAAATTCAAAGACATTTTACCTTCATCAATAGGCTTCCATAGACACTTGTATTCAACAGGTAAACTCTCTAGTGTCTTCCAATTCATGATGTTCTTGTCCGCGCCTGGGTCCACTAGGCATACGATATCAGTATTACCGATCATAAATTTACCATATAGTCCTCCGCTTTCTTCGTCCGTAGTGACATTAACTGCACCCGTTAACGTTGGCTTCTCAGTAGTTGCTTCAGCTTTTCTGGCGATAGCCTTGGATTTCGCTTCCTTGACACGCACACATGCTTCATTAAAGTACTTCGATAGGCCTTCTAATACCGCCAAGTTGGAGCTGTCTTCCTTCATGTTTACCACCATGCCGTGAGGTGTATTGGTAAATGTGATCTGTTGCGTAGCCAACTTTCCTTGTCGGGTCACTCGGTAACAACTACTTTCGTCATGACCCTTCTTTCCACAAACTTTACAAGTAGGCTTAGTGGGACAGTCCCGAGATCCATGTTGTGGCGACTTACACCAGCGACACGTATAAGTGGTAGGGTTTTTATTTCTTGCGTAGTCTCTTGGTGTTTCTGGTATTTCTCCTGCCTCATAGAATTGTGTCGCTTCGCTTTGATTAAATTTGTTGATCGCGTTTCTAACTGAGCTGTGGAGGGGTTGGGTACCATCCTGCATCGGCATGTCTCGGGTAGGTACTGCCGCCACCAGTCCAACCTTCGGACTCCTTCTCCGCTGGCGCCTCGCTAGGTCGTCATTACACTTTAACACAAACTGAATGAATCGATCTAGATCCCACTGACGCCAATCTGATCTCATGGCTTCAGCTTGTAGCGGGGCACATAGTTTGTTTAAAAGAGCTTGCTTCAACTGATGGGAGTGAAACGCATTGGGATGCTTCCAACGTCTTCTGAGCATGTGGTAACGTTGAACCGTCTTCTCGAACCACATGACTAGATCTTCAGCATCTTCCCGATCTTCAGTTTCACTCAGACTTTGAGCCACTACATCGATCTCGTTACTGTACGGATACAGCTTCTTGGCTAGACAATCTCTAAACGTCTGCCATTCTTGTATTTTGTGTAGTTTATGCTTGTTGATGCGATACAGTACATTATCATCCGCAACACTGGTGATTACTTGAGGTAGTAAGTTGACCTCGAAGCCCTTGGCACGGGTCAGACGCTCAAGTAGATCTAGTTGATCATCATAGGCCTTCTCATGTCTTGGGTTGAAAGATTCCTTAATGTTTAATTCCTTGATGAGTCTTCTAGTAGAGTGGTAATCGATATATGTTCTTGGCTGTCTTGCTTCGCGTAGTAGTTCTAGCTGCTGCCCTCGGACGACACGTGAGCGGTTGGATGATGTGCTCAATGACGTCCTTGAGGACGTGATCGAATCAGAAGAACTCTCATTGTCTGAGGAATCACTGGAGCTTGAATCTGAACTTGACTCGCTGCTAGAAGGCTCCTCCTCAGATGACTTATCCTTTCTGGATCGAGAATTCAGTAAGGTTGCGATCTTGGCCTGTAGTTTACTCGATGCCTTCAGCAGGATCTTCAACTCTTCGTCTTGACTTGAGTTACCCTTGCTGGGTTTGCTACGGCTTGATCGTCTTACGATTATTCTGGACTCGCTTGGCATTTGTTTGCAAAATTAATGAGATGCAAAAATCGTTTCGACGGATGAAACGTAAGTTAATTGATGATCTAAAAATTTGTGGTTTGATTAATGCAAGTGTGTGCGTCTGTCTCCGCGGGACAAGACACACACACTAGTATGTAAGACACACAAATACTAAATTTCGGATAAC